CCCGGCCTTCCTCTTCATCTACCTAAGAATGAGAGGCTGCACTCTGATCTGGATTTTAACAAAGGTAAAACTACTTTATCTTTCATACCCAACACATCGTTACCATATTTAACACGGTTGGCATAAATCCCTGATACCATCTAAACAAACCCAGTCTGCAATCAAATTTACCCAGTTGTCTGAAATATGTTCTTGCTGTTGATTATTCTAATCATAATGAAACAGCTTCCTTCCCCTCCCCTCTTTATGTTTGATTTCTCTTGTCTCTTAAATGTCAGTTAAGTCCTTTTACTCTATGTGCCTGCCTGAGTAATAACCACTATGTACAAAGTACCCTACTAGTAGCTGGACGATGAGGATGAACATGGCAGCTCGGCCCTCCAAAGGTAGATAGTCCCATGGGTACTGAGTGACTGCATTCACAAGCAGGTTGTCCTCTCTAACTTGTTTCTGCTCCTTAAACACTCTTCAGTCACCGTCTCTGCTGTAGAAATGGGCATTTGCCACATACTATTTACCAAATGGGAAGCCTTTAAGAAAACTACTTATGATTCTTGTAAAGTTTTTTTTTCCAACTTCAAGATTTTATAACTAATATTAACATGTAAACTCTTATTATTGGGAAATATAGTCTACAAAAATAAGAACACTGAGAACCAAAGACTGAGCTCAGTAGGAAGCCTTTGCCTAATGTGAACAAGATCCTGAGTTCAATCCCCAGCACTTACACACACACACATACATACACACACACACACACATACACACACACATGAAATAAGAACACTCCCCCATTTCACATTCACATTTCATCATCCCTGTCATCATTATGGAAATAGCTAACTGCTATCAGGTGTGTATTAATCTGTAGGTTTTCAGTAGATCACTCAATAGTCACAATTTTATGAAATGAGTGCTGTGGTTGTTAGGAATAGGAGTCACAGGTAGAAAAGAAAGCAACCAACCTCCACAATCTTTAGCAGTCAATGAGGGGTGGGAGCTGCCCTTCTGTCAGGCAGCAAGGGAGTTTAAGTATGTTCCTAGGTGTAGCTAGAGTTAAAAGTATTGACTAGGAGTGTTTGTAAAGGGCCTAGAGCCCACATTGTTTGGAAGGACTTGTTTGCAGAATAGAAATCGTTTTACAGATGAGGGTGGTATGTTCCAGGGCCATATCTGGAAACGGGCTAGCAATGCTCTAAGAAGGCCTCTCAGTGGTGTATGTGACTCCACTCAGATCCAGGCGACCCCAGACCCAGAAACCATGAGGCTCCTAAGAGGAGCTGAGTCAACCAACTCCCAGCCACCTGCAAGTTAACGAAAGCAGCCACGAGAAGTTAATGACCAATGCATTGTGATCACCAGAGCGTGCCCCACTGGCTGACAAACAGGTTTCCCAAGCCCTTAGCTGCAATTAATTCCTGGAACCCTGTAAGTGTAGAAAACATGTTTCACAGTAGATGTTTTTTTCTAATATGCTTCACCAGGTACAGACCCCACGCCCTCCATTGAGCAAGCAGCCCCCCAAACGGTCCCAAACGGCAGAAAAATATTCTTTTTCCTCACTCTTTCCCTTTATAAGCTACCCCTCTGCAGCCATTAGGCTGCTGGTTCTTCCAGCCCAGCCAAACCCAATTAAACTCTCGCTTTGCCAGAGTCCTCTTTGTTTCTGTTTCGCGGCAATTACGACCCCTGATACTTTTTTATCTAACAGTATGACCAGTCAAGGGGTTTTTGTGCAATCTCTCTTTAGTCATTACCCCTATTTACAGATGAGGAAACTGAGAGTCTGGAAGTGAAACGACTTACTCAGGGATCCACATGTAGAGAGCTGAGGAGCCAGGACTCAGAGCCTTCCGACTGAAGTCTGTTGTGTCCACAGCCCTGTACTGTGTGGAGAGCCGTAGGCCCCCACCCCAGAATATAGCAAGACCTGGTTCCTGGCAAAGCTGTTTTCCAGACATCAAGGCTGACCTGGTTTGAGATTAACCAGATGACCATACTTGAAAGCCTCACAAACATGTTGTTCTAACTCGGGCACTTACCACTTGAGAGACTCCCTCATTTCTCATGTCCGCTTGAGAGACTCCCTCATTTCTCGTGGAACTGCCTAAGAAACTTTTTGTATTACTTTGTAATCATGCAGGTGTAACCTTATAATTGATTTGTGGCCTTACTATAGAATTGTGATGTTACTATGGTGTTCTGTTAATAGAATTGCTCTGCCTCAATAGATTTATCCCTGCCAACTTCCCCCTTCCCCTCTCTATAAAAACTGTTCCTTTTCTATCAATAAATGAGACTTGATCAGAAAGCCTGTCTTGTCTCCATTCTTCGCGTCTCTTGTCCCTTTCAGTCCCCTCTCCTCTCTCCAGGTACCCACGTTGACTGTCTCGTGGGTCAGGACATCTGGCGCCCAGTGTGAGGGCTGGATTCGGAGGATCCAGTGAGGGAAGAAGATGCCCCCAAAGGAACGTTCCACAACAATTTTTCACTCTGGACACGCCGCGGGAACCTGCCTCGGCTACAACCAGAAGTAAGTACAGACGTCTGATTATGGGACAAGAAATAAGCAGGCATGAACTTTATGTTAAGCAATTGCAAGAAGCCTTAAAGACGCAAGGAGTAAAGGTTAAGATAGAGGATCTATTAAGATTCTTTGAATTCATTAAGGAAACCTGTCCTTGGTTTCCCCAAGAAGGAATAATAGATATTAAAGGATGGAAAAGGGTAAAAAATGCTTTAGAGGATTATTATAAGGTCTTTGGACCCAAGAAAATTCCTGTTACAGCCTTTTCCTACTGGAACTTAATCAGGGAATTAATAGATTCAAATGAATCCTCCACCGAGGCTGCCATAAAGCAAACTCCAGGCCTCCTACAAGGCCCCCCCCAGCAGCCTCCCGGTGATAAAATAATTCCCCCTAAGGAGATAGACCTCATCTCCCTTGACAGTGATGAAGAAATGTCACCCGAGATACATTCTAGGATTTCAAATCCCAAAAATGTTAAATCAGAGCCTAACTCTAAAGTCAGCACTGATGTCACGATACCCCAGTCTGGCACTGCGCCCACGGCTCCTTTTGAGGCGTGTTCCACGCCCCCTCCTTATCCTCTCCCAACAGTTCTACCTGCCCTCGAGGCATTCCCCACTTCTCCCCTCGTTACCCAATTAAGAAATGAAGTGGCGCTATTAAAAGAACAGCTAGCCCTAGAACAACAAAAGCAAGAACTGCTTGAGGGTCTTCAAGACCTATCAGTTAAAAGTAAACATTCCTTGCAAGGTGAGGCTTTCCCCGCCCTGCAGCGCTCTGTTTCCCAGCCTTTGAGACGACACCAAAAGACGATGATGAGCCCTCACTCCACTCTTGTCTCTAAGGCACATGTCTCCCAGCTTTGTAATTATATTTCTCGAACTGAAGGATTCTCTGAGTGAAAAGTGATGTGCTCAGTAGCAGTATTAACTGGCATCCATCTATTAAGTGTTCTTTACACAAACTATATCCTTCAGGTTCCCAAAAAGAAACAGGAGATCAGTTGGGCTATTTGAAGAGAATTTGCCAATTCTATGTACTAAGAGAGACTGAGGCAACTAACAAGGAACTTTTAATGCCAGGAGCTACCAATAGTAGTAAGCCATTTCCACCCCTATAGGCAGGAAAAAGACCCTGTCACCAGATTCCATCTGAGAACTGCTATCATGGAACAGGGCTTTCCTAAAGAAAGAGAGGTGACCAAGTTTCCCAACCTCAGTCACTTCCACAGATTCTTCAAACGAAACTTCTAACAAATACAAGATGATAGTCAAAAATCTCACAAAGAAAGCCATTTTCACCTGCCTGTAACCCTAGCACTCTGGAGGCTGAGCCTGGAGGATTGCAAGTTCAAAGCCATCCTAGGCTAAACAGCCAGACTCTGCCTTTAAAAAAAATGGGGGGGGGGGGAACCAGGTGCTGTACTTAAAGGAGCACAGTGAAAGGTCACCAGGAGATTCCAGCTCAACTCAAATGCAGATTGTGTTCATGGTGACAAAAATGAACAGCCCAAAGAGGTGGTTTAAAAGGGGGAGTGACATGGCCTGAAGAGAGGGCTCAGTGGTCAAAAGCACGAACTATTCTTCCAGAGAACCTGTGTTCAGTTATCAGCACCCACATCAGGTTCCTGACAACCACCTGTAACTCCGGCTCTAGATGGATCCTGCATCTCTGACCTCCATGGGCACTGCACTTGGGCACTTACCCCACAAAGATTCAGACATAATTAAAATAAAATAAATTATATGAAGTGAGGAGATATGACAGCTTCAGAAGTCATGAAATTAAAGCAGAAACACAGGCTGAATAAGAATGTTACTGGATTTCAAGGCCTCTGTGTACCCCAGGAGGAACTGAATGGCAGGGCTGATGTTCAGACAGATGCAAAGTATTGCTCTGCTGGTTAAAATGCTGATGTTCTATACTATATTCACTTGGCCAGAAATGGGGTCTGGGTGTGATGCAGCATGGATAGGTGGCCAAGGCAGTGTTGCTCTGGACCAGCTCAGGGTTCAAGGCATTAGGACAGGAAAATCCAATCCATGTTATTGGCAAGGGATATAACACAAGCTATCCATCCCAGACCATGTGGGCCTCACATGAAACCCAGTCAGTCCTGGATGCAAGAACCTGTTGTCTATCAATTCAATGAGACTGGTGGTTTTCCATGTGAAATTATGACTCAGACAGGAGGTTCACTTAATTAATGATGAAATTATTTGATATTTTGTATTACATGTTACAATCATTTAGAGGTACTTTTATGATATGTACTTTGAGTCAGATAATAAACAGGAATATGTATAGATGGGTAGGTGTGTGTGTATGCATGTGTGAGAATGTTCATGAGTGTTTATGTGTGTGCCGGTGCACCTGTGTGTCTGTATTCCCTAAGGAAGGTTCTAGAACAAAACAGTGTGGAGGAGGAAGGATTGAGATAGCTCTGGAGGCTTTAGAGGACCTTTTAAAGGGGGAGAGTGCTGATGGCTCAAACAACTGGGATAAGCTATTTTTAGCCACCTTGTATCTACAGAGTAGTTGTAGAGCCACTACTACACCATGTTACCTCTGCCACAGTGAGACCTGGGCTCAAGGGCTGTCCAGGTGATCTTTCAAGGAGAGGTTTGACCAATGGAATCAAGGGTTCCAGCCTTGCCATATCTCTGTCCAGGCCCAGCAGAACTTGTGCTAGGGTAATCTAGGATGTGCTGAAAGTCTAGAGCCAAGAATGTACTGGCAGAACCTTAGAAGACAGAGTCTGACTTTAGTCACTGCTTGTCGCCCCTTCCTACATCTTCAGTCATGGAAAAGTCAGCCCTTCCTTGTGGTGAGATCACCCTGGCCATGAGCTAGTCAGTCACCATTCATCAGATGGGCCTTGGAAAAGAGATTTGTCCAAGGAATGGAGATCTTTGGATATAAAGGAATCTAGCTGCAACCTGCCAGTATGAAGATCAGCTCTAAACAGAAATGAATTCTCAGGCTATTGGCACTGTCCTTTGTGCTCCTGTGATGTAGATATTAAGAACTATCAGGTATAAGGATAATGTGGTGGTGCTCACCTCAAATCCCAGCCCTCTGGAGGCTGAAGTATAAAGATCACCACAAGTCAGAGGCCAGTTTGGGCTACAAAATGAGTTAAAGTCCATCCTTCAACACATGATAAGATTCTTTCTAACAAAAGAAGACCAAATGATTTCAAGGTTGTATGCCAGGAATCAGACAAGGCAGTTCATGTGGATGTTATCCATACAGTTGCACAGTGGCCTGGTGAAATAGGGATTGTGGTTTCCCCTCATAGACCAAAGAGGAAAGCGAAGCTCAGAGAGGCAAAGACCTGTCCAGGTTAGAATTCTAACCCAGAATAACTCTAGAATAGAAGCTGCTCCCCCATCCCTTCTCAATCCCTCCCAAGCCTGTGCTCCACCAGCCTTCCCTAGAACATATTCTGGGCCCCACCCTGTAGCTGGACAAAATGTATTCGCTTTGGATTCTGTACACAGAACAGGGAACCGAATATGCAGAGGAGGCTTACAGATGGAAACAGAACATGGTGAATGCTTACCCTCAGCTCACCTTCTTCTTATACAGTCAGGATTCTATGCGGGGAATGGTCTTCCACAGGAGTGGGTCTTTCCACATGAATTAACCCAATCAAGACAATGCCCCTCAGGCATGCCCAGAGGTCCACCTCCCAAGTAATTCTTATCAAGTTGGCTATTGAGAGTAACCACCACAACTCTATCCCTTCCCAACTTGACATGTAAATATTTTTATTGAATTTTTGTGATTTTTATACAATATAGTTTGATGGCATTTAGATCTACTGAACTTCCCCCCACTGCTCCCTGTCCAACTTAATGAATGCATGTGTGTGTATATATGTGTGTGTGTGTGTGTGTGTGTGTGTGTGTTGTTTTTTTGTTTTTTTGTTATTGTTGGTTTTTTCCCTGAGTGCCTTGGGAGGCAGAGGCCAAACACATCACTGTAAATCATGACCATTCATCCTTTGTCTCCAAAGTCTCATGTTTATCTCATAATACAAAATACAATACAATTTCTAAAATTCTCATTTTCTTTAAAAATTCTAACAGTTTAAAAATCCGTAATCTACCTCTTACCTGAGCCACAAGGCAAGCTCATAACTGTGAGATCCTATAAAATCAAAAACAAGTTTCATACTTCCAATATAAAATGACACAGAATAAACATTCTCATTCCAAAATGGAAGACTCAGAGTATAGTGAGGAATGATATTACCAAAGCAAGACCTAAATCCAGCAGGGAAAACTCTGACATCTGAGGCTAATGATGACAACAGCTGGGCTCCAAAGGGATTAGGTAGCCCCACGCCTCCAGCTCAACCATCTCTAGCACACACATCCTCTCTCTTAGGCCAACTCCGCTCCATACCTGCAACTTTCCTCAGCAAAGGTACAATAATATTGTCACTGCAGTATCCTGGGGTCTCCATTACAACTTGGGTTTCAGTTTCACAGCCTTATCCAGTGGCATCTCGTGGTCTCTGTGTAGAGACTTCAACCTTAAAACATGTTGGCTGGACTTCGTTACTATCTGAAAATGTGGGGCAAGCCTCATGACCCCTCAATCTTGCATCTGTCATGCCTGCAAAATTAGTACCATGTGGATGATGATGCTAAATTGGGCTGCCAGATGAAGACAGAGCCTGGCCCCACTGGGCCACAACTGGATTAGAGTCTATATGCTGACCTGGGGGAAACATTTCCATTATAGAACTGAGAACACCTTCAGTTTGGGCTTTCTTCCTTCAAATGAATTTGGATTTTCACAAGACAGAGCCCCTAAAGAGTAGGACTGTGCTTCAGAATACTATTCTTACTGTGTCAGTGCAGTCCTTCTTCATAGAAAGTCCCTCACCCTAAGTTCTGTACCCCTGCTATCCAAGCCAAACCTGCTTCAGTGGTAACCCTAAATCTATACCTCTTTAATCTATTTTTTGACGGAGGGGCAGGGGGACATGTTTTTGTTCCAAGTGGCCCATTTTAAAGCTCATGGGCTAGAACAGCCAGCCAGGGTGGAACAGCATTACATAGTCCTGGAAAATCCCATCTTCTCTCCAATGGGAATTCTACTGAGAATAATCCCTGCTGCCCAGCACTTCTTTCCCATCACCACCATCACGTTGATCTACCATCACCTCCATTTGCAGGACATTACCTTTCACGTCTACCTGATCCCCGATGACTGCACCATTCAGAAGGTGAAACTGAGTACCCCAAAGGCCAGGCCAGAGTGGGCTGACAGAGAATGTGAAATATAGCTAGAGATCACTTCCAGAGAAATCATTACCCGGGAGTGAGGAGAACCCTGGTGTGAATGATTCTGCTCTTTGTTCAGCCTTGGTTTGAGTCTCTCACAGCCTAACTCTCCCCAAACTGCACTGTCTAGCCTTCTACCAATCTCTGCATAACCTCCAATAGCCTCTCTCCAGGCATCAGAAGGATGGGATGGCCTCATGCCCAACATGTAGCGTTTCCCTCTCTCTCTCTTCTTCTCTTACAGTGAACTTATTCCCACACTGAGCATACTTGACAAAGGCCAAGTATGCAGCTGTCTGTGTGATAGAACACAGGGAATACAGGGGAGCATGGTGTATAGATGGTGTCAACACTCACCTCATGGGCACAACCCCCACTCCCACACAAATGTACTTACCCACCATCTCACCTTATTCAACAAGATTCTCAAGGGCAGAAATCTCCTTGAATCATTGTCTAAAATGTTCCCTAGGCCATAGATGATGAAGAAATGAAGTTCTAATTTTATGCAAATACACAAGCCACCCCTGCTGGATGCCCTTTACATTGGCTCCTGCTATACTGTGTCTGGTTCTGAGAATCTGGAAATCATCCCCAAGGTGAGAATCCAGGTGTTTGCCCATCTCCAAGATCAGACTCCAGATGTGGGGAAACCTAGGGAGCAGGCCTCGGAGCTTTACGAGAAAATTGGTGTAGGATAGAAAGCCAGTGGGATTTGGGGTGAGCAAGAATATAGCAAACATAAGTGGAAAAGAATTTAATGTGATGGAAGATCAGGTTCAAGATGGGAAAGATGATGGACTTAACTTAGGAGCACTTCGAAGTGCCATCTAGCAGAAAAGCACAAGGAATCCACCTACAGTTGAACACTCTGGGTTTATTACTGTGCTGAACATACTCCATGGAGAACTATGGAGATTCTCAGTAAAAGAGTGCTAGAAAAAAAGTACTGCAGGAGTTCAGTCTTGGTTGGGTAATTTGGGGGCAAATCTAAGGAAACAGATTTGTTCCAGATTTAATGCTGTCAAGAAACAGAACAATCTGTTCCTGGGAGTCTCAGCACATCTTGGTCCTGGGCAGAGAGGACTGAGGCAAGCAGAATGCTGGAATTAGTAAAGGCGTAGCAGCCCCTCACGTCAGCATGCTTGGGATGTACAGGCTGCCTGGCAACCTTTCTGAAGTAGGTGGCCTGTGTTTGTCCAGTGGGAAATAACGAGGCTCACTGATGTCTATCTCTGAGTGTTATATCAGCTTCTAGACACTAGGGACTGCTTTCTCTCAGAATCCTGCCCCTTGCTTTGGGGTGGGTCCACTAGTCATTGAACTATAATAATCAAATCTTCATTATTGGTACATTTAGACATAAAATGCCTTCAAGGGCTCATATACTGAAGGTTTGGAAACCAGCTAGTGGCACTGTTGGAATACAATGGGGTTGTGAACACTGACTTCATCAGTAGATTAATCAATCCATTGATGCGTTTACACTGAATGGATAATTAGGGAGTGCAGCCTGGCTGTGAAAAGTACCTCACTGTGGTCATGCCTTTGAAGAGTATATCTTCGCACAGAGCCCTTCCTCTCATGATCTTTCTGCCAGCTACCCCCTGTAAGGTAAGAAGTTTTGCACTGACAAGTCCTCCCCACTAGAGTGTCCCAACTTGTCCCAAGGCCACAGGGATGGGACAAAGTGGCTGTGGAATGAATCAGTGGACCACAGTATATCTTTCATCCTTTTAGTTGTTTTCTCAGGTATTTTTCCATAGCAGGAACAGGCTGACCAACACGACACTGACCACATTTTACAGCCTGAGATCAGAGCAGCTTCCACTGAATGGTAGTCTGTGTTTGAACCAGGGCTGTGTGAGTATAATGGCATAGGCATGACAATTGACGTGGCATGTGAGAATCAGGATAGGATACATCATACAACCACAACACAGACAAGTCAAAAGGGCCAGTCTTTGTAACAGGTCTGAAACCTGGATGTCCAGATTTTGAGACCCAGTCTATTAAAACATATCTAGAATCCATCTGGGTCTATTGAAGAAAGCCCAGTTAGCCTGGTTTTTGTTTTTGTTTTTTTTTTTTTCCTCTTATATCAGCTATTTTTTTCATTGCAATACAATATACCTGGCAAAATAACTTAAAAGAAGGAGAATTAATTTAGTCTACAGTTTAAGAGGATGCAGTTCACTGGGACAGGGACAGGAAGACAAACTTCATGAAACAAGAGTATGTGGCTGGACTCCTCACATCTCAAAGTTTTGGGAAGCAGAGAGTGGCGAATGGTGGCACTCAGCTGGCTTCTTCTTCGTGCACTCCAGGACCCCAGTGTGGCCGCCAGGGGAGCAGCCACAGGGCCTGAATGGATTATCACAGAACTGAAAAAAGACCAGGGGACTCGTGAGATTTCTTCGCTTTTATTTCTTCACACACACGACTGCCAAAAAGCCCTGTTACAGCTGAATGTCCACGGCACAGTGAACCATGATAAAGAGGCTAGAATTCCGCAGTTCAGCAAAACACGAGCAAGGTAGGATTATCACTGCAGTATGCCTTCCTTGGAGAACAAGTGTCTCCTGAGAAACTAGAGGAGTCCTGGCATTGCGGAGATGACTACCCAGCAAGCATTCTTGCATAAACTTTCTCATGAGTCAAGGTTTTCCAGACATACATGCTCAAGGTTCAGTTAAATTTACCAAACATATTTTTAAAGCCATAGGAACACTATTTCACAGTCCCTTCAACCCGGCCCAAGAGATTGTGCCATTCAGTCAGGACGGGTCTTCCCTACTCGATTAACGGTCCCTCACAGAAACGCCAGAATTATGTCTCCTAAGTATTCTAAATCTAGTCAGATTGACAATATAGAATGCAGCAAAACTGTCCCAGTTTCAGCAAGCATAAGTACACAAAAAAGTATTGTCTATGGTTAAAAATACTGCCCCCATGATTAGCTATTGGGTCTTAATGTACAAAAGAAGGAGGAGGATGATAGATCCAACAGTCAGTTAAGTTCGGAATAGTTTTTTATTTTTTTTATTTTTTCCTTAAATGGTAAAAAGAAAACATAAAGGATGAGAAATAAAGCGGGTGAAGATTATGGAGATTATATTAGTGCTTTAGAGTGTGTAAGAAGTAGTAGATAAATATTGGTAATAGAGTACAGTAGTGGGAAAGGGTGCTGATGTTCAGAAAATTCACCCTGTTCTGGCATTCCAGGTTAAACTGTCCTGCTCAGAAGGCAGCAGCCTCTGAAGACTTCTTGGGGTTCAGTTCAATGTCTTCAGAAGGACAATGCATCTTGTAGTTAGAAGGATGCACTGTTTATATTTGATTGGGAAACATGAAATCAAGGATGAATACTTAAGACTTTTCCTGAAGTATCCATCGTTAACAAGATTAAGAGGGATAGGGGAGAGAGAAGCAGAGAGGGAGAGGGAGATTCAGAGATTCAGAGAGAGAAACAGAATGAAGAGAAAGGAGGGAAGGAAGGAAGGAAGGAAGGAAGGAAGGAAGGAAGGAAGGAAGGAAGGAAGGAAGGAAGGAAGGAAGGAAGGGAGGAAGGAAAAGGAGATGGTTCCATTATTTGACAAAGGTTAAACCAGTGCCAAAGATAGCCTTCAGCAGAGGTAGTTCAGCGGACCTGGCAGGCAGATCTATTAGCTTAGAAAGGTGATATTCTAGCAGATATGACCTCCATAACAATTAAAGAATGGAGACCAAGTTCAGTAATAGAAAATGCTAGGAAACAATACAGCATTGTGAGAGAGTGACTTGGGCACTTTGACTGGGAGGTCAGACAAGCATATCTGAGAAGATGTCTCTTGAGTTGAGGCCTCAGTGACAAGAAGGGAGCAGGCATGTGGGGATTTATGGCAGAGTGTTTCAGACACAGGGAGCATGTGCAGAGGCATAGAGGTGAGAGCAGGCTTGACACCTCCAGTGACACAAAGGAGGTCAGTATGGCAGAGTCAGTGCATGCAGCAAAAGACTGAGTAAGACCAGGGCTTCTTGTATCTAGTAACCATGGTGTGGAGTTAGATTTTGTTCTAAGTGAAATGCAAGGTCTTGGTGGGTCTTAAACATGGAGATAGAGTACCTGGTTTATTTTGATAAAGATTCTCCTTGGGTTTGGGATGATGGCTCAGTTGGCAAAGTGCTTATTGTACAAGAAGAGGATCAGATGTAGAAAGCTAGATGTGATGGTGCACACATGGAAATCCAGTGCTGGAGAGGAGGAACCCTACAGCTTGCTGGCCAGACAGTCCTGCTGAATTAGAGAAAACTATGTTCAATAAGAGACCCTGCCTCAAAAACCAAGGTGGACAGCAATGGAGGAAATATCAATGTTAACTTCAGGCCTCCGCATGCAAGCCACGCATGCACAGACAGGCACATACAAACACTCAAAGATACCTCTGACCCTAGGTCAGATTGTATGATAGGCAGTCAAGAACAAAATCTGCTGCAAGTCAAAAGTCTCCTGCAGTACTGTAGGTGAGAGATCTTGATTACTTAGATGAAGAGGGTAACTGGTTTTTTGAACTTAGGGTATCACATATACTAGGCAAAGACTTTACTGAAAAGTCTGACTGCATACTGCTCAGGTCCTAAGAACTAGAGTGAGGTCAAGTTTAAAGGCAATGGACCAATTTCTTTGGCAGAAAAAAATGTCAAGACAGGAGAGCATTCAAGCTGTGGTGTGGCTAATGCTTACTGCACTTCTCAAGGTCTACTGTGAATAAGAACAAAAAGTTGGGAAGGAAGATATATAAATGCTAAATTTGGATAGGAAAAGAGTACCAACAAAGATAAGTTGTAGCTAATGTAGGAAGTGAAGAAGAACCCGCTATTCTGTGCTAGAACAAAAGGAAACGTGCCCCAAGAACAAGACCCTACCATCAAAAGCTCCAACTTAGGGAAATACAAATGTATTTAAAAGAAGCAATTCTGAAATGAGAATGCAGCTAAAGGGATTCCCTGCTCAAAAGCAACTGCCTAGAAAATTGTTTCCACGGATTCAGCAACCAAAGCACACAGCTGTCACTACAGCCATGGCTCAGGGGGTCAGGCTGTATCCTAATGTGGCATCAGAAATGATACTGGTTTTGCATACATAAAATATACAAGATTTAGAGTAACTGAGTCTTACTCTATGGTTTCAGTGACTACCTGAAGCCAGGCAATGTGTGGCAGGATTGGATTTCCCACAAAAGACCATGTAGGGAGAGATGTAAAGATGAAGCCTAAGTTCCAAAGGATACCTGAAAATGTTGGAGGTGCCAGGATGATGAGACATCTGCAGAGGAAAGTTGCATGCTTGGAGTCTAGTTGGCCCAAGGGAGAGACAAATTGCAGGTGCAGCAGAACTGCAGGGGCCGTGATACCCAAGCCCTTTGGAGCCTAGATGATTTCATCACAGGCTCCAGACGCTAGGAAGGAAGCAGTGGATTTGTTGCTTAACCTTCTAGCTTTCAGTCTTGACGTCAACATTCCTTGCAATACCCGTATTCTTCTCTTGGAATAGGAAGGTTTACTCTGTGTCATTGTATGCTGGACATATTGGACTTTTTATTGTATGTTCAGGGGTTCACGGTTAAGGGATCATCTGAGTTTCAGAAGAGATGCGGAAGAACAGCACATACACTTTTTAATATTGTTGGAGCTATTGAAGACTACGGGAGCTTTTGATGTTGAATGCACTTTGCATTAGGAGATGTTATGATTTAAAAGTGATGCATATGAACATCAAGTTACCAAGGAGTGAAGTTGTGGTACTATTGTTAATTTGATGGGATCTAGAATCACCAGGAGGCAAGTTTATAGTCCTACCTTCAACATGATATAGGTGAGGTTAGTGTCTGAGTGTCTATAAGGGATTTACCTAGATTAGGTGGAAGTGGAAAGACTCAACCTGAATGTGGGCAGCCCTGTTCCATGGACTGGGATCCTGAATTGAATAAAAAGGAGAAAGTGGGATGAGCACTGGCATTCCTCACCCCCTGCCTCCTGACTGCTGATGCCACGTGACCAGCCACCTTGTGTTTCTTGTACAATGGTTTCCCTGCCAAAATAGGCTGTACTCTCAAATTGTGAGCCAAAAGAAATCTTTCAGGGCTAGAGAGGTGGCTCAGTGGTTAAGAGCACTGGCTGCTCTTGCGGAAGACCTGGGTTCGGTTCCCAGCACCCACATGTCAGGTAACAACTGTCTGTAACTCCAGTTCCAGGGAATCTGACACCTCTTCTGGCCTCCACAGACATTGCACAACATGGGTGTACTTACATGCAGGCAAAACACTCATATATATAAAATAAAAATAAATAAATAAACATTTTAATGAAACCCTTTCATCCTTGAGTTATATTTGCCAGGGCATTTTATCACAAGAAGAATAATTAATACCTTTTACTTTAAGACCCATCAAGAATGTAGATTGCCTAGAGAATTCAACATGGCAGAAACAGAGGAAGACGGGTCCAAGGAGAGGTTAAGGGAACAAGATCCAGCTTAAGATATATAAGCACTATTTGTAGGATGAGCTCTCAATCATTCACAGATGTTATGGTTTGAAACTGAATTGTACCTCACAGGCTTATATATTTAAACACTTGGGCCACATGTAGTGTTATTTTAGGAGTGAGTATGCAGAAAACTTAGAGATGTGAAGTCTGGCTAGCAGAAGCAGATTGCTTTTGGAAGGTCTTGGAGGTTATAGCCTAGACACAGCTTCCTGATCCTCTGAGATATAACAAGCTGAGCCACAAACTCCTGCTGCCAAGGATGGAATGTCAGCTGCCATGCATTCCCCACTATGAATCATTGAGACAAAATAAACCCTTCCTTCTTAAGTTGGTTCTTGTCAGATGATTTGCCACAGCAATGAGCAAAGAAGCTGAACAATGTGGTTCCCAGATGAGGCCTCCTTCTTCTGAATCAGCAGGTGTGTTCAAAAGTGGTGATTGACCAGTACAAAAGATAATCAATGCCCCTATGGGGTGAGCCGGACCAAAAAGGTATCAGGATGGTGAGAGAGATTGCAGTCTGAGCATGAATACTGGCTTTCTCTTTCTCTTTTCAGGAACTGGAGCTGTGCTACCGGAGTCCCAGACAATCCCAGCTCTTCTCTGAGATCCACGTTGGCCACACAGGTTCCAGGATTAAGTTACAATTGAGAGATAAGAAAAATATGTTTCTTATATGGGAGGCCTTGTTGAAACCAGGTGAAGTGACATCAAGTCCAGAGACAAGAACAGGAAAATCAATGAGGGTGGGGACACATATTATTACTATTTTGGGGTATCAAGAAGTAGACCAGGAAAGTTATGTTGCTTTTTCAAGTTCCATAGCATGTGATACGGTCTTGAAGTCTGACTCTGTGTTAGTTATCTTTTCCTAATTGTGACAATATACCAGAGAAAACCAACATTTAAAAGGAAAGGTTTGGGCTGGAGAGATGGCTCAGCCGATAAGAGCACTGACTACTCCTGCAGAGGACCCTTGTTGGATTCCCAGAACGCACATGGCAGCTAACAGCCATTGGTAACTCCAGTTCCAGGGGATCTGACACTCCCTTCTGACCTCTGCAGGCATTGTGTGACATGGGTGCACTTTCACACATGCAGGCAATATACACATAAAATAAAAATGATAAAGAAATGAAATGTCACAGAAAAATTAGAGACCAACAGCCGAAGTCAGATAAGGAGAGGAAGTTTAATTTGACACTAGCAGGACTGACCCACAGATAAAAAGAGTCACACCCCTCACACTTTGGAGAGTTTTTATGCTCATATATGAGGAATGTAAGCAAAAGGTACATAGCACACACATGGGAATTAGGTAAGATAACATATGGAGGCAAAGGTTACAGGGATGTGAAAGCTTTGGAAAACAAAGACTTTCATCCTGAGTAACCACAGGGGGGAGGGGGAAGACTCCTGCTCACCTCCCCCATACCTATCTCTTATCTGTTTTCCTGCTCCAAAGTTCTTAATTACATCACATTGAAAAAGTGTTTAGTCATAATAAAACAAACAAGCAAACAACAAACAAACAAACAAACAAACAATAAATAAATAAATAAATAAATAATAACAAATAAAATGGAAGGAAAGGTTTGTTTTGGCTTGTTTCAGTCCCAGATCACCTGCCTTCATCACTTTGGGACCGAAGTGAAGCAGAATATCGTGGTAGTGGGACCACGTCAAGGAGGCAAGGTAGTTCTGAAGTAGAGATGCAGAAATACACAGATCCAGATAGATATAGATCCAGATTCAGATACAGATCCAGATACAGATCCAGATACAGATCCAGATACAGATGATCCAGATCCAGATCCAGATCCAGATCCAGACACAGGAGGAAAGGAGTTCAAAACAAAATATACCTCCAATGACAGACATCCTCCAACTCCCCCCCCCGTAGTTTCCATTGTCATTCTCATATTCACTCAGTTATAAATGCATTTATGTGTTCATAAAATCACAGCCCTCATAACCAGTCACCTCTGAATACTGCTGCAGGACTAGTCTTTCAACACATGAGCATTTAACAAGAACCATATCATATTCAAATCATTACATACTCCAGCCCTTTTAATTTCTCTCATACCCTGGTATCCACCTACTGCCCTTGAACTGCTAGCTTTTAACATTCACAAAGCCCCTGACATCATTGTACATGATGGCTCAACTTTACAATGGAGGCAAGCATTCAAAGGTTCTATGACTGGTTAATAAAACCAGTTTTGCCAATATTAAATACTCAATTTGATCAATCTATATTTTCTTTTTAATAATAAATTTCATTTTTTGAGTTTCTCACATGTGTATAATATATTCTGGTCACTCCCCCCACATACACCTTTCCTTATCTTTTGACCCCAGGCAGCCCCACTCTTTCCTGTAAATGCCTTTCGCACATTCATGGCTTTTTGCTTTGTTTTGTGTTCTACAGAGTTTAACTAGGGCCGTCTCTGCCGTCATCTCAATTCACTGGAAAGAAAGGCTTCTCTGACGAAGGCTGAGTAGCCTTTGTGATATAGACATAGATATTCAGAAGGTTATTTGATACCAAGTGTAGCTGAGCAGCAGCCATAGCTTCTTCCCAGGACCTAAGACCTCCTTAAACATGGACTTTTTTAACCTGCTTTATAGTACTAGGCATGGCTTGCATTTTGTGCAGAGGGCCCCAAGTCCTACCTGGGAGTAGTTGGCTACTCCATAATGCTTGTGCCACTATTGAAGCAGGGAAGACATCTTGCCTAGCAGGTTAGTTTTTATAGTTCACAGAGTTCACACCTGGGTAAAACCATTGATGCCTCTTCCTCTCCAGCAGCCTGCACAGCACCATCTGACACTATGGAAACCAGCCAGCAGGGAGGATGCTTACAACTCAGTCCCAGCTTCATTTCTCTAGATCTTGCATTTAAGGTACATGGTATATTCAGCAATAGGGTCTTATCAACTTGGACTGGTGAGCATCCAAAAAGGTAGTGAGAAACTGAATTATTTTATGGACATATGGGACCTCTGAAATCAACAACTCCTATGGATGTATCCCACACCTGTAACTAAGTTTTTTATTTTATTTATATTTTTGTATGAGTGCTTTGCCAGATGTATATAAGTATGTCCATGAGTGCAATGTCCAGGAGGCCAGAAGATGTTGGATCCCCTGAAATTAGAGTTAAGGTCAGATGTTGACCACCATGTGGGTGTTAGAAATTTTTCCCAGTTTCAAACATTTATCTTTCATAATTTCATTTTCCTTGATACACCAATAAAATTCCATTGTATATATATATATGTATCACATTTTAATTATCTATTCCTCAGTTGATGGACACCTAGGCTGATTTCATTTCCTAACTATTGTAAAATGAAATGCAATGAACGTGGAATTGCCAATGTGTGTGTGTAAGGTACATAATTCTTTTGTATAAAAGCCCAGAAATAGTATGGCTGAGTAATGATGAAGATCTAGTTCTAGTTTTATAACGAGCCTCCAGACCGATTTCCAAAATGGTTGCATAATGTACAGTTCAACTAGGAGTGTATTCATGGTTTCCTTTTCCCCACATCCATGCCAGCAGCTGCTGTCATTTTTATCCTTGATGATGGCCATTAAAACATGGATGAGGTGGAGTCTTAAGGCAGTTTTAATACACGTGGCTAATGACCAAATGTTTCCTAGCTATTTGTATTTCTTTTTTTCAGAACTGTTCAGTTCCATAGCTCATTTTTTTAATTGGGTTGTTTTGTTTCTTGGTGGTTAGTTTGTTGAGTGCCTTGTATATTCTAGTTACTAATCCTCCATCAGAAGCATAACTGGCAAATATTTTCTCCCATTCTGTGGGCTATCTCTTCACTCAGTAGTTTCCTATGCTACACAGAAGTTTTTTAGTTTCATGAAATCCCGTTTGTCAGTTCCACGTGTTAATATATTCAGACTTCCCAGCACTATTTGTTCAAAGACTGTCTTTTTCTAGCATATATTTTCGTCTGCTTTGTCAAACATCAATCAGGTAGCTGTAGTTGTGTGGATTTATCTCTGGATCTCTACTGCATTGCCCTATGTGTGGTCTGTTTGTCTGCCAGCACCATGCTGTTTTTATTAGTATGGCTCTGTAGTACTATCTTGAAATCAGGTATGATGATACCTCTCACCGTATTCTTTTCATTTTGGATTGCTTTAGTTATCCTTGAATTTTTATGCTTCCATATGAATTTTAGGGTTTTGTTATATTTCTCTGAAGGATGTCCCTGGAACCTAGATTTTGAATGCATTGAATCTGTAGATTGCTTTTAATCAGATATCTGTTTCACAATATTGATTCTTTCAATTCATGAGCATAGGAAGCCTTTCTATCTTTAGTGCCTTCTTCAATTTCCTTTTTTGATTTTTAAAGTTTTTGTTGTTGTTGTTGTTGTTGTTTTTTGGTAGAAGTCTTCCATTTGCTTGGTTAGATGTGTTATCAGACATTTTGCTGTTACACTTTTTGGCTATTGTGAATAGCACTGCCCATGTTTTCAAGGTGAGATAGACAAGAGAAAATCAAAAAGTGAACTTTCAGGGGTAAAGCAAACATAGTCTTAGCCCAGCCCCTCAATCCCAAACCACTCTCTCCTAATCAGCACTTCTGAGGATAATAAGCCCTTGTCAGCTGTCACACAGTAGTGGTAGCTCTTGAACTACTACAAACAGGTGGTCAAGTAACAGGCTTTGCATGGCTTTGGCTTGAATGAGAACTCACCTGCACCTGCACCAGCATCAGACTCAGTTTGAATCCCACTTGCTTACAAGCTGATCTGGGAAAATTACTTAATTCATATGAGTCTGAAGCTCCTCTCTGTAAAATGAGGATCATAATGACCAACAGGTAGGATGGTTGAAAATGTTTAATACAATGATGTTTGTGCATGCCTCATGCAGTGATCCTTAGTAGATGGGAGCAATGTTGTTATTTTTCCTTATATGAAGCCAACTTCTGCCACCTGATTTCCCTAATACTGTCCTTTGGAGCTCATCAAGGTCTATTCCCTTCTTTGTGGAAAAGTCTTCAAATACTGGAAGACTGGGATCATATCCTCTCTGACTCCACTTAGGCGTATTAAGTACCTCCATTTTCTTCCATCCTTGCTCCAGTGACCCAGTCACTTTCCTCACTAGATGCTCCAGTTTATGCATCAGTCAGGATGGAACAAGACTGTCCAGTCAGTATGCAGTATAAGCAACATCATCCTAATGGAACAAAGGTTTCCAGTACGACAACCTGGATCCTTGTGCCCGGTTCCGTGAACTCTTAGGGCACAGTAAACTTAGGGTCTTCACACACCCTCAGAACTTGTTTTCATGCACTGGAATTAATTAACTTCTTTTATTTGTTCTGGTTGTTGTTAGTTCTTGTTGCTAAAATGCACTTCTTATTCCCATGTACTAAGACTTTGCTTCATCTTGATTCTGATTATTCTGATATCAAATCCAGAAACCGCATATAGTGGTGTGTGCGTGTAGAAGACCAAACACAGACAAGAAAGTAGTTTTCTTCCCAGAAGAAGATGTTAAATGGCTTAAGGCTTCTAGCAAGGGGTTTCATTAATTTTCTACCAAGCTTTCCATTCAGACAAAGACAGTATAAAATTGAGGCTGTGATGATGAGGGAGAAATTTTTTGTTCTTATGTCTTCTTTCTGTACGATCATAGGCTCATGGCCTAAGTTCCTCATATGAATAAGGAAATTTTCACTTTCCAGATTATATTAGAATGTCTGTAGATTACACTCTGAGTCAGTAGTGGGTGGGAGCTTCAAGGCGTGCCCTATTTATTTATAACTGGCACCATTACAGTTGTTTCTTTATCTCTCCTTTCTTACAGGAGATACCAGATCTGCACCAGCGCTGATCCTTCCAGCCCCCAAAGGTCAGTAACAGCTATGAGAGCCAGAGGAGTCAGTGGGATTCCAATGGTATAGTGTCTGATCCTTTAGAGAAAGGAAGGACCCTCTTGCAAACCTCACAGGCGCATGCCCAGGGCAGAGTTCCTCCCCTTGCCCATTGCTGTTGCCCATGAAGAACATAAAGTACACTCGAACCTGGATGCCCCACCTGCTTAACAAGCAGAATACCAGAATAGACAATGGCATGAAGGTAAAGATGCTTTTCTGGTGGTCAAATGGCCTTCTAAAGGGAGAAGGAAGCCAGGGATGCAGATGAGATAAGTGAACAGAGCAAGAGGTGGGCACTCAGAGGTGGAGCCCACAGAGGAGCCGTTCTTTGCTCATGGCCAGTCTCATCTTCACCCCCAGATGTCCCTGCTTCGATACACTTTGTGGACCAGCATTTGGAGAAGGTGGCCTGAGTGACATCAGTGGACCCTGTCTTGGACAAGCTGTATGGTCAGGTCCCGAGTGAAGAGGACTAGGAGACAGTATGGGTTGAGACCACCAACCAAGACAAGATGCAGAAGCTGTTCAGCATCAGCCGGTCTTGGAACTGGGATGGCAAAGACCAACTTTACCAAGCCCTGAAGGAAACTCATCCTCACCTGATCATGGACCTCTTGGAGAAGTTGGGCAGGGTTTCTGGGGAATCCTAACACTTAAGTCAATGGCTTATGAGTAGGAGAAGAAAGGGGCTTCTTAAATATTTTATGCCCTCAATCCTTTTTCATCTCCCAAATTTTATATAACTCTGGCTACATAAATATATGAAATAGGATATAAATCAAACTTTTCCTAAAAATAAACCTTCAAGAAATTTTTTTAAAACAATTCTTTGGTAGATATATAATTTCATCATTTATTAAAGATGAAAGCATAGTTACAGGACCTTCACATAAAGAATTCAATGTTGGCTGAATATTTGATACTACAAGATGCAGAGGATTCCCAGGATCTCTCAGAGTTGATTGATATTTTGAATTTCTTGTCAGTGCTGAAAGTGCTGTAGTGTGCACTGCAAAATGGCAGAATTATGTTTAAGGACATTTCAGAAATTATTGGAAATTCTGTCCTAGTGCCAAATCAAAATTCATTTAGCAATTTTTTTTATCAAACTCAAGTCAGCAGCTCAAAAACCAACTTTTAATATCAAATGTTCTCACACAATACAATACGAAGATTATATTAACTTGATACACACTAAGAAATAAAAATAGGAAAATATTTTAAGTCTTTGTATTTCATAATTATGCTATTGTTTCTATAGCATCGGAAAACTTGGTATCTACAGTGAAAACACTAATTCACAGCACACAAGAATCGAGAATGTGAGCCAGCGTGATCCAGGCAGCACTCGGAGCTGAGGGACCTGTTGCCACATGCAGTGCACAGTACTCATGCGGTGTGTTCAGAGGCAAGGCTGCAGTGTCACGTGATGCAGCATGGGGTATGCACTACCAGAAACATCTCGGATTCATTACTCATTATGAATAAATTTTTGGTCATTGAACATTCAGAAACATTTACTGTTGCCAAAATTTTGCAGCCGCCACATTCAGTTCAATGACCCCATAGGTTGTCGTGATCCACAGCTTAAGAACCTGTCATAGAATGACAAAATAGGATTCCTGCCCACTGCTGACCCACGTGCCACAGAAATTTGTCTCAGCAAAACTCACAGTGGGACTGGAGGCTTGCGAGGGCTGTGGGCTTGTCCTGCGGGTAGGGCTGCCAGTGTCTCCACCAGGGCCACCTGGCTAGCCTTCCGCACCAGGCTTCTGCTTCCCTCCCCTGAAGCTCCGTGGCTAGAGCTCTGTTAGTTTCACTGCTTTTCAGGGCTTTGTCCTGTCTTTTTCTCAGCGCTTTTTCAGTGTCCAATCACTGCCTGTGTGATTTCTGAAGCTCTTCCTCCCTTTCTCTCTTTAGAATATTTTTTCTTATGCTGACTCTTATCCTTCACTGGGTCACCTGGAGAGAGCTTCTCTTTGAACTTCACCCATAAGTCCTCTGGGGTTGTTTTGTTGTTTTATTTCGTTTTGACAAGAAACAGTGTCAAGTATTGGGAAAAATTTTCTAATGTATTCACTTCATGGATAATTTAGAAATAACTAAATATACTGGGTAATTATAAATGAGGTTAATGTTTATAAATGTATATGATAGAGACAACACATTGGGTTATTTGTAAGTAAGTTAAACATTTAAAATATCATCAAATATAAATCAATCAATCTTAGCTTCCTATAATCTATAAAAAGGCAATATATTCAGTTCTGTTAAATGTGTCTAATAAATTATCAGCATATGAAAACAATTTCATTGCTTCTCAGTCTTTTGGCTGAGCACTTGTGGGTATGAAAACCCATGTAAAGAACAAATATAAAACTATCTCAGATTGGTTTCTTCCTGGATTTTACTTAAATGTAAAGATTACTGAGCACTGTAGTTAATACACACCTCAAAGTATCCCTATTGATTGATGTGATTAGAATTATCTGAGAAATAAGCTTTGTCAGAACAGACTTTCTGTGTAGGACAGTAAACTCTTGTGCATTGAAGTAGTCTTCCATAATCAAGGTTCTGAACTAGCTCCTTCAGAGGAGGACGAAAGATTGTAAAAGCCAGGGAGGCGGTGCATGACCATACAGAAATAGTCCTACAGACGCCTGGGACTCTTCTCATACAAACCTACAGTAATGATGTCAGCATAAACAAGACCCATGCAAACTTAGGGAGACAAAAACCCAGCACAAAACTGTGGAAATGAACAGCAGGCCCCAATCTTAGTCACAGAATTATTGGCAGTTGATTATTGCTGGGTGAGGAAGAGCTGATCTTCTTAAAGGGAGAGACTCTAGACAGGCTGACTAAACCCTGGTGGACGAACTCACACTGAGGGACATCTGGGGACACCAACTTTACATGATAGGCTTTAACACAAATGACAGAATGTATGAACTCCAGTGAGGGGGAGGGAGAGGCGGTATAGGAGGGTGCCAAAAGGGAAGGAGGTATAAAGATAATTTTCTGTATGAAATACACAAAAATTCAATTAAATTTTTTTTAAAATAATGTTTTGGATTCAAATATTTTAATTGATAAAATAAGATTTTGGTTCTAATGTAAAATGACAGAGACCAGAAGTAATGATGGGAGAAAAAACAGCCTCTTTAACAGATGGTATGGCAAAAACTAGATATGTATATCCAGTTTATATGTACAGGACTGAAACTGCATCCTCGTCTCTCACCCTGCAAAGAAATGAATTGTAAATGGATCAAAGACATTAATAAAAAACATGAAACTCTAAAACTTCTAGTGGAAAAGGTAAGGAAAATAATTCAAGATGTGGGCATAAATAAGGACATTCTAAAGAGGACTGCAGTCATCAAGTAAGTAAGACCAGCAGTCAACAAATGGGACCTCATGAAATTAAAATACTTCTCTCCAAAAATGAAACAAGGGAGGAGGCAGCCTACAGAATGGTAGAAAATCTTTACCACCTATACAGAGGATTACTATCTAAACTACATAAAGACATTTATAAAAAGAAAACAACCCAATAAAAAATGGGCTATGAAACTAAACAGGGTTTTCAAGAAGAAATGTAAATTACTAATAAATATTGGGGAGGTGGTATTTTGGTTTGGTCTGGTTTTGGTTTTTATTAATTCTTTGAGAGTTTTGTACAATATATTTTGATCATATTTCCCCCTCCCTCGATTCCTACCAGATCTGTCCCACTTTCCTACCCACCTACCTTTGCATTCTCTCCACCCCACCTCCCTGCATAGAGTCCAACTTGTGGTACCCAAATACTTTTGTTTTCCCTATGTGTGTGAGTGCTTTGTGTGCATCTATACAAGTGCACCATGAATGTGCAAAGCCTGCAGAGGCTAGAAGAGGGTGTTTTTGGATTCTCTGAAATTGGATTTACTGATAGTTGTTAAATGCCATGTAGGTGCTAAGAACCAGACAAGGGTTCTCTGCAAGAACAGACAGTGCTCTTAACCACTGAGCCATCTCTCCAGCCCCTAAATACTCTTGAGTGTGAATCCAATCCTTGTGTGTTGTTGATCTACCAGGGACAATAACCCTTAAAAAAACCTGATTTTCTTCACCCAGCAGCTATCTTATGCTAATAGATCCTCAGTTGTGAGTGAGACTTCGTGACCACCTCCTTCTCCCTGTTGAGATTTTGTCTGGGTTGAGCTTGAGCAGGTTTTGTGCATGCTGTCATAACTGCTGTGAGTTCATATGTGCAGCTGCCCTGCTATCTGGAAAACACTGTTTCCTTGTAGTCATCAACCACCTCTGAAGCTTGCAAACTTCCCATCCCCTCTTCTGTGAGGATCACTGAGCCCTGTGGGGAGAAGCATAATATAGATGTCCCATTTAGGGCTGAGCATTCCACAGTTTCTTGTTCTCTGTACACTGACCAATTATGGGCCTCTGTAATAATTGTTTTGTACTGAAAGACAGTTCTCTGATGAGGGCTGAGAGTTGCACAAATCAATGGATATAGCAATAAGTCATTAGGAGACATTTTAATACTATGTCCATTTAGTAGAATGTTAGTAGTAGGTTCTCCTCTAGGGCCCATGACCTACCTAGCCACATGTTCTTGGCCCCCGTAACAGTGAGAGGTATGGGTTCCATTTGTGGAGCAGGCCTTAAATCCAACCAGGCCGTGTTTGGTTACCTGCATAGCATTTGTGCCACTATTGCATTCATAGGCATATCTTGCCAGGTCACTCGTTTTTATAGCTCATAGATTTCACAGCTGGGTCATATTGACGATTACTTTCCTCCTCAAATCTGCAAGGTCTCACCTAGCAGATGAGCAAACTGAAGCTCAGAGACATGAAACCTCCATTCAGGGAGTCAGGGCCTCAGCAATCCTGGCTGAAGCTCCCAAGTCTGGCTCCTCCAGCCCAGGGCTAATCAAAGCAGCTCCAGAAATTTTTGGACATTTCACAACAGGAAATGAACTAAGCAATACCATTGTTCACTCTGCAGTCCCAGAGTTCTGCTGACTGAGAAAAGAGGAAAACCATCAGGGTGCAGGCCTGCTTTGTGGTATCTAGACAAACTCTTTCACTTTCAAAGGAAGTGTTTACCAGTTGAGAGCTCGGCAGCACAGAGCCTTCTGGGCCTGGAAAACATACATTCGGTGGGACTCATAGAAGAGCAGGGTGAGTAGTGAGGCTCAGGAAGCCCCACAAACCATGAACAATGTGGAAACATAAGCCCTGGCACATCTCCACTAAGGAGCTGCCGTGGCAGACATTAGAGACTCATCCTGAGAGCCAGGACCCAAGGCCCAAGCCTCTGCCTGGACTGGAGAGCCTGTCCAGCTCTGAGTGGGTGGCAGGGTCCTGGATGAACCCATATCCTGTTTTGTCTGTGCCTAGCCTGGACCCTCACCTCTGCTGGCCACACCGTTCTTAGGTTTTCTCTTGGTGGGTTGCTTGGCTGGCTCTGGGTTGACCCCACTATGTGGTTGGTGTTCAGGGCCAGAAGAGTTTCAAAGATACCTTCAAAGGGGAAAACCTAAGCTGAGTCCTGCGCTCTGAGTCCACCCTCTCTGCTACATTGCCCAACCTCACCCTCTGTCAGGAAATGGCTGAAGAGGCTGATCTCATGAGTGAGGTTCCCAACAGAAAGGCGAAGACGAGGAACCAAAAACAGTGAGTGTCATGCACATCCCATCCTGCATCCTCCATCCCTCTGTCCTCTTATCCTCTCATCACTCTGTCTTCCCAACCCTTCATTCTTCCATTCCCCCATCCTCTCTTCCCTTCATTCCCCCATCCTAATCCTCCCAGCTGTCCATCCTCCTGTCCTCCCATCATCCCATTCCTCAACATTCCTCATCACCCACCCTCCATTCCTCCTGTCCTCCTATCCCCTCATCCTCCCATCTCCTTACCATCCCATCCCTACATCTTCTCACACTTCCATCTTCCAAACCCCCACCCTCCTACTCCCCACCTCTCCATCAGTCTCCCTGGGAAGGCCTCAACCCTGTCCCAGCAAGCTCACACAATTAGACCTCTTCCAGTGTCTCCCTGTCTTCTTGGGGTTTTCTCCTCTAATGACTTTTCCTACCACTCCTTTTTCCTTCTTCCCTCCCAACACTACCTAGTGACAGATAAGATGGGGTTTAAAAACCTGGGATCTTCAAGCTGGGCGTGGTGGCGCACACCTTTAATCCCAGCACTTGGAAGTCAGGCAGGCAGATCTTCATGAGTTTCAGGCCAACTGGGGCTACAAGGAGACTCTGTCTCAAAAAGACCAAAAAAAAAAAAAAACCAAAACCCCTGGGATCTGAATGCTGAATAGAATTCCAGGCTTGGAGAAATTATTTCAGTGAGAGCCTTGTATTGGAGTGTAGGGGCCAAACCACAGAGAGACCACTGCCCTCTGTGTCCTCATGTCCTCCAACCCCCACCCCCACAGGACAGAATTGTCTAAAAGAGTCAAGCATCTACTAGCCTATTACTTGGGGACACTGAAGGAAGAAGAGCTGAAGGAGTTCCAGAGTTATCTGCCAAACCAAGCACACTTGGAGAGTTCTTCCACCAGGACACCAGCTCAGCCAAAGGAGACGAGCAGCACAGAGGTGGCCTCATACCTAGTGGCTCAGTATGGGGTTCAAGGGGCCTGGTTTCTCGCTTTACACATCTGGCAGGAGATGGGCCTAAACCTGCTGTGTTCCCAGGCAGAAGCAGAGGACTTGAAATGGCGTGAGTATACAAAGGCCCTCCCACCCCACTGGGACCTATCACCACCATGGAGCCCCAGGCCTTCCTTGGGGCAGGGCAAGATCCTGTCAAATCAGGTCATCAGCCCCAGTCTACGGTGGAGCTGAAAGGCTTGCTGAAGTCTCCCTGTTCCGCTTCTTCCTTTGATTGAACACTAAATTTTGAATTTCATATCATATTCCTGACATGAAATCTTACTCTTTTTTTAAATTTAAATATATAGCCATCGGTCTCAGCTGATATATACAAAAATAAGTGGCCAGCTGGGGTTGGCAAACATTATACCCAGCTACCTGTTTTGTTTTGCTTTTATTTTAAACAATTTCATTTTTTTAATATTTTATTTATTATTTTTATGTGTATGCGTGTATTGCCTGCATGTAGGTAAGTGCACCCGTGTCGTGCAATGCCCACAGAGGACAGAAGAGACTGTCAGATCCCTTGGAACTGGAGTTACTGCCATGTGGGTGCTGGGATTCGAACCTGGGTCTTCTGCAAGAACAGCCAGTGTTCTTAACCACTGAGCCATCTCTCCAGCCCAAACAATTTTATTTTAATTTTTTGTTGGTGTGTGTGTGTGTGTGTGTGTGTGTGTGTGTGTGTGTGTGTGTATTTGTCCTACTTAGCTTTCTATTGATGTAATAAAGCACTCTGACCAAAATCAAGTTGAGGAGGAAGGGTTTATTTGGCTTTCATGTTCCTATCACAGTTCATCATTGAGGGAATCCAGAAGAAGAATTTACGGCAGGAACCTGGAAGCAGAAGCTGAAGCAGGGACCGTGAAGGAGCCCTACATACTAATTTTCTTGACCTGTGCTTAGCCTACTTTCCTATATAGCTTAGGACCACCTATCCAGGAGTGGCAGCACCCACAGTGGGCTGAGCCCTCCCATATCACTCAACAATCAAGAAAACACCTCACAGATATTCCCACAGGACAATCCAATAGAAGCAATTCCCTCTTCCCAGGTGTGTGAAGTTAACCAAAGTCAGCCATGACATGGTTACACACATGTGTACCCACGGAGCCCAGAAGAGGGTATCAGATCCTCTGGATCTGGAATTACAGGTACTTATGAGCCACCCAACATGAGTTCCAGGGACTGAACTTGGGTGCTCTCAAAGAAAAAGAAATATTTATATATTTATATATATAATTATTTTATTATGTATATAAGTGTATTGTCTGCATGTATGTAAGCATACTGTGTCATGCAAGGCCCATGTAGGTCAGAAGAGGGTGCTGGATTCCCCTGGAACTGGAGTTACAGGCAGTTGTTAGCCACTATCTAGATGCTAGGAATCAAACCTGGGTTGTCTGCAAGAGCAGCTAGTGCTCTTAACCACTTGTAAATCCCTCCAGCTCCAAGAACAAGAACTCTCAACCACTGAGCCATCTCTCTAGTCACTCAGCTACCTGTTTTGTTTTTGTTTTTGTTGGTTTGTGTGTGTGTGTGTGTGTGTGTGTGTGTGTGTGTGTGTGTGTGTTGCTGAAGTGTGTTGAGCCCTGGTTATGAACCTATTAAAATGATACTCATTAAAGCCATTTATGAATATGAAATTCTTTAAGTAGAACCAAACTTAAGAAACAAAAGATTTTTACCTTTTTGTTCATTATTTAGAATATCCTTAATTTATTCTTTGACAATTTCATACATTTCTACAATTTTTTTGAGCTTGGGTCCTCCTGTAGCCCCAGCTGGCCTGGAACTCACAGAGATCCAGCTGCCTCTGCCTCTTGAGTACTGAGATTAAAGGTGTGTGTCACCATACCAAGCATTATTTCCACTGTCTTGATTATATCCACTCTCAACTCCTCTTTCCACTCCACTCAGGGATCCCAAAATATCCCTCTCCCACCTTCATGTCCTGCTTCTTTTTTTTTTTTTTTTTTTTTTTTTTGTAATCGCTTAAGTCCAGTTAGTGCTGCCTGCTAGAATGTTGACTGATCTTAATGGCTTGGTCCTGTGCAGGTCTTGTGCATGTAACCATAGCTGCATTGAGTTCATGAGTACAATGGCCATGTCATGACTAGAAGACAGCATTTCACAGCACTCCTCCTTACCCTCTGTCTCTTACACTCTTTCTGCTTCCTCTTCCATGATGTTCCCTGAGCCTGGAGGTAAGGATATTAATATAGATGTTTCATTTAGGGTTCTGGTGAGATGACTCAGTGGTTAAGAGTGCTTAGTGTCCTTTCAGAAGACCTAGTTTTGTTCCTCTCAACCAAATGATGGTTCACAACCACCTGCAACTGCAGTTGTAGGAGATCTAATGCCTTCTTCTGATCTCTCTGTCTTCTACACCAACATGGTGCACACACCTACACTCAGGTACACACATGTACACATAAAATAAAAAAATAAATAAATCTTAAATGTCTCAATTAGTGTCAAACATTCAAAGTCACTTATTCTCTGCACTTTGACTCATTATGAATCTCTACATTAACTGCCACCCAGTTCAGAGAGAAGCTTGTCTGGCCAAAGTTGAGAGAAACACTAAACTAAGAGTATTACCATAAACATTTAGAAGTCAGTTTGACATTTCCATTTAGCAAAACAGTACTAGCATGTTCACTCTAAGGCCTATGACCTCCCAAGTCGTGGCCTTTTGGTTGGTTGGCTGTTTGGTTGGTTGGTTGGTTTGTTTGTTTGTTTGTTTGTTTGTTTGTTTTGTATGGCGATCCCCTCACAGCATTGCTCCTTTTGCTCAAGATTGTTTTGGCTATCTGGGGTCTTTTGTGATTCCACATGAATTTTAGAAATGCTTTCTAGTTCTGTGAATAATGTCATGGGTATTTTGATTGGCAATGCATTGAATCTATAGATTGCTTTTAGTAAAATGGTCATTTTCACAATACTAATTCTACCAATCCACAAGCATGGGAGGTCTTTCCATTCCCAGGTGTCTTCCTCTATCTCTTTCCTAAAATATTTAAATTTTTCATTGTAAAGTTCTTTAATGTCTTTGGTTAAGTTTATCCCTAAATTTTTTGAAGCTATTGTGAATGGGAGGGTTTCCATGAATGCTTTCTCTGATACAGAAAGGCTACTGAATTTTGTAAGTTGATTTTGTAACCTGCCACTTTGCTGAAAGTGTTGCTCATTTCTAGCAGTTTTATGGTGAAATTTTTGAGATCTCTTACATATAATATAACCCACAAACAGGGATAATTGACTTCTTTTTCAATTAATACTCCTTTGATTTCCTTCTCTTGTCTTGTTGTTCTAGCAAGAGTTTCAAACACTATATTTAAAAGGAGTGGAGATAGTGGACAGCCTTGTCTGATTCCTGATTTTAATGGGAATGCTTCTGATTTTTCTCTATTTAGAGTGATGTTGACTCTAGGTTTGTTGTATATAGTTTTAATTATATTGAGGTATGTTCCTTCCATTCCAATTCCCTTTAGGACTAACATAAATGTATTTTGGATTTTTCCAAAGGCCTTTTCTACATCTATTGAGATGACTCTGTGACTTTTGTCTTTAAGTCCATTTACGTGATTTATTACATTTATTGACTTATGTATATTGAACCATCCCTGCATCTCTGGAATAAAGCCAACTTGATCATGGCAGATGATCTTTTTAATATGTGTCTGTATGCAGTCTGCAAGTATCTTGTTGAGAATTTTTGCATCTATGTTCATTAAGTATATGAGTCTATAGTTTTCTTCTTGTTGCATCTTTACTGGTTTTGGCATGATACTGACTTCATAGAAGGTGTTTTGGAGTTATTCCTCTTTTCTATCTTTTTAATATTTTAAGAGGTATTGTTTGTAGATCTTCTTTGAATGTCTGGTGGAATTCTAAATCCATCCGGGCCTGGGATATTTTTAGTCAGGAGGTTTTATATTATTGTTTCAATTTCCTTATATGTCATTGGTCTGTTTAAGCTGTTGATCTCTTCTTGCTTTAGCTTTGCTGATTTCCATGAATTTAAAAATTCATCCATTTCTTTTAGATTTTCAAATTTAATAGAGTATAGATCTTTAAAGTATCCCCTTATAATGTTCTAGATCTTTTGGGTGTCTGTTGTGATGCTTCCTTTTTCATCTTTGATGTTGATTTGGATTTGCTCATTCTTTCTTTTGGTTAACTGGGCTAAGGGAAGGGTCTGTCTATCTTGATTAGCTTTTCAGAGAGCCAGCTCTTAGAGTCATTGATTCTTTGTATTGTTTTCTTTGTTTCTTTTTCATTAATTTCTGCTCTAGTTTTTGTTATTTCTTTTCATCTGCTAAGTTTGAGTTTGATTCGTTCTTGCCTTTCCCAGAGTCTTGAATTAAGACATTTATATGTGCTCATTCCGATTCTTTTAATGCAGGCACTTAGAGCTATAAACTTCCCTCTTAGAACTGCTTTTAAAGTGTCCCAGAGGTTGTGTTGTGTTGTTTTATCCTTTCATTTAGTTTCAAGAGTATTTTTATTTCTTTCTTAATTTCTTCTTTGACCCATTCATCAGTCATGAGTGTGTTGTTTAATCTTCATAAGTTCATGTAGCTACTAGAGCTTCTTTTGTTGTTAATTTTAGGCTTTATTGCATTATGGTCTGAGAGAATGCATGAAACTGTTTCAATTTTTTTGTTTTTTGAGACTCATTTTGTGCCCTAGTATGTGGTCAATTTTAGAGAAACTTGCATAGGCTATTGAAGAGAAAGTGTATTCTTTGGTGTTGGGTGGAATATTGGGTAGATATTTGTTAGGTCCACTTGATGTATGATGTCATTCAATTTAGATGTCTCTCTGCTTATTTTTTGTATAACTGACCTTTTGGAGATAGTAGTGGGGTATTGAAGTCACCAGCCATTACTGAGTTTGGGCTAATCTCTGTTTTATAGTCCTGGAGTATTGTTTTTTAAGAAGTTGTGTGCATCAGAGTTTGGTGCATATATGTTCAAAATTGTAATATCTTCTTGGTCAATTGTTCCTTTGATTAAAATGAAGTGACTCTCTTTATTTCTTCAGATTAGTCTTAATATG